GCTCACGGTACAGATAGGGACAGAGATTTGGCCACAGCCACTTAGTTGCTGACAGATGTTAGATGTGGGACACTCTGTGGTTACAAAAATGTTTCGTTCCTGTTGCTGGAATAAAATATCCTGAGGACCAGCTGGAAAGACAGCTGAGCACTTAAGAGCGCATCCAGAGGAGTTCAGTTCCCAAGCACCCACATGGTGGCTCACAACCTTCTGTAACTCCAGCTCCAGGGGATCCAATGCCCTCTTCTGGACTTCAAGGGCACCCACATGCACATGGTGCACAGACATAAACTTAGGGCCACACATATATATGTAAAATAAAAGAAATACATCTTTAAAAAAAAATACCCTGACAAAAAACAACTTAGAGGAGGAAGGGCTGGCTTATTTGAGCTCACAGTTCCAGGTGGCAGTCCCTCTCTGGGGTGGGGGAGGGCGAGGAGGCAAGGGGTCCAGACCTGCAGGAGTGTGGGACAGCCAGTCACACCACCGTCAAACAGGAGCAGAGAGATTAAAGCAGGTCTGCTCAGTGCTCAGTTTTCTCCATCTTACAGAGTCCAGGGCCCAAACCCAGGGAATGGATCTGCAGTACTCCGAGTCTTCCCACAACAGTCAACTGGGTCCATCAACAATCAAGACAATCCCCTACAGACCCAACCTGAGGTGGTTGACAGTGAGACTCTCTTCTCAAGTGATTCTAGGTTGGGTCAAGTTGACAGTTAAAACTAAGCATCCCTGAGCTTCAAGAAGCAGAGACAACAGCCCTTCTGGTTAAGCCTGGCCGCTGTTCCTTCTCCATGAACTGATTCTTTATCTTTAAAAAAAACGATTTTATTGTTGTTGTGGTGGTGGTGGTGGTGGTAGTGTGTCAAAAAAATTCAAGTCAAGCCCTGGGAAGGCTGCAGTGCCTCTCTGGCCTCTACTGCTGCTGGTCAGGTATGATGGATACCAGTTCAATTCTGTCGTGTTCCTAGGATGGTCAATCAGTCCACATATCGATGACACATATCGACGGGTCCTGTGCATTGTAGTGCTCTGTATGAACGTGGAAGAGCAGCTTTCAACAAGCAGGCCCCTGCGGAGCTCCGTACCACCGCGGGACCGCACGCTGCAGACCACCCTGGAGCAAGCGTGCTGGAGCAGGCTGCGCGTCCTCTCCAGGCTTTACGGTAATCGTGGTGTGCGGAGCAACCACGTGGCGGCGGAACTCCGGACCGGCGGGAATGCGCGGAATGCGCGGTCTCGCGCGCTCCCAGCTTTGGTCCTGGGGTCTGCAGGCGCTCACCCCCGAAGGACCTAGCGGCCCCCCAGGCCCTGGAACCTATCCAGGGGTCTGCGCGCGCCCTGCCACCAGCCCCCGGGGCGCGGGGACCCCTAGGAGGGCGCAGCGTGGAAGGCTGGGCTACGTCCTTCCCGATCCAGGAAAGAAATTTGCCCTTCTCCGGGACTCCCGTCTCAACCCAGTGTCACCAGATCTGGAACACGCAGGTCCCCCACCCTCCTGGGTGGAGGATGGAGACACCGCAGCGAAGCTGGCCGAAGGGCGCGGGGTGCGGGCTCGGCGCGTATTGCCTGTCTTCCGGTGCACGAGAAAGCGCTGCCTGGGGCGGGCCGTACCGGGTTTTCCAGACCCGGCAGCTGCGCTCTGGCTCGGCCCGAGGGTCCGCTCAGCTTGCCGCGGGGGCCAAGTGGTCCAAAGCTGGCCGTCGTCTCGGGCCATTAGCCACCCACCTCCGCCCAGTTTCTTTGCCCGTTTGTTGGGGTTTCCTTTTCCACTCTGGTACCCTCTTCCCACAATTAGAGACCCGCGGTGGGTTCACGAATTCCAAAAAGACTGGGGTTCATACTGATCCGGGTACCCGGAGACGTGTTCTGAGAGGTGGGGACCCAGCATGTCAAATCCTCGTTCACCCCCAAAGCTGCACCTCCACCCGGGGGCACCTTTGCGCACAGCTGGGGGAGGGATGATGGGGACGTCTACGAGGGGCTGAAATGAACTCGGGGCGGTGGCGTGCGGCCACCGGACTCCCCACGCGTGGCCATCGCGAGTGAGCACGGGGGATCGAGTTGGTATACACCCCTATTTCGCTTTGGGGGTGCCCGGGATCCGCGCGGGGTAGCCAGGGCGAAGCAGCCTCACAACACGTGGGCTGCCAAGTGCGCCCCAAAATACCTGCAGGGTATGGGGAGGGGGCCCGGGGCCCGTATTCGGAAGCGTTTTCCAGGGCGACTTAAGGGCTTAATTAACAATGGCAAACTGGCACGGCGCGGCCAAGTCCTTTCAAGTCACTGCCAGGTATGTGGCTACAGGTGACCCCACCTGGGTGCGCCCGCTCCGCGCCCGGGCCCTCCCCGGGAGGGAGGGTGGTACAGGAGGCCCACGGTCGCTGCCCGGCCCCGCACCCCTCCCCAGAGTCCCCAGCTGGTCAGCGCGCACAGCCCCCCCGGCGTCCGCGCCCGCCTCGCAGGTTACTGAATGGACGCGCTCCCTTCCTCCCCCCGCTCAATGAAGTTCCCACAGCCAGGGACAGTGGAGAACACGCGCCAGGCGCGCAATCCGCCCTCTCTCGGGGACCCTCGCCCGCCGCAGCCCGGGGTGGGAGGGGTGAGGGTGGGGGTTGAGCAGGGAGGAAGTCGGAAAGGGGATTAAAGTTACTTTGGGATTTTCTTTCCAAATAGCGTGGTCCTCTCTCCATAGGACCGGTGGCCTTTTGTCTGTAAAAGGTCACCAACAAATTTAAGCACCGAGCACTTTAAGTGAGCCCAGCATTCGCAGTTCCTGCTTCGTGGTGGGTTTTTTAAAAGGCAGTGTAAAGTAAAAATTGCAAGAGGGAAGAGGGGGGGTTGTTTTTGTTTTCTTTTTTAAGTTGCGTTTTCTTAGAAAAAATAAAAATAAAACTCCATGCGCTTCCCCTGAGACTCTAGAAGCAATGGCCCTCCAAAGGGCCCCCCGAGCTGCTGACCCTTCCAGGGCCCCTGAGCTGGCCAGATAGGGTTCCCTGGGTGGGGGGCTGGGCGGCAGGACGCTCCCCGCGGGGCCCCAAATTCCAGCGCCTCCCCCTCGGGTTCCTGGACGGCTCCGCACGCCCGCCAGCCGGGCTTGCACTTTTGCGTTCGTCCCTGAGCGGGGTGATCAACGAAGTTCCTCGTCTGAGATCTGCCGGGTCCGCCTAGTAACAGCGCTGCGCCCCCATTGGCTCATGCTAATTCCAGTTTCCTGGTCTTTCCCGCGGTGGGGGAACGCGGGCTCCGGGTTGGGAGCTCGTGTTGCAGGGTGGGCGAGTTCCTTTATGGCCCGCTGCCCTCGCCTGCGCGCCGTGGGCCGGCCCGGGTCCCCCCTGGTCCCAGGGACCGAGCGGCGGTGAGAGCGCGCGGTCCCATAAATCATCCCGGCGGCCGCTGGGTCGGGATTTTATGAATGAAAAGGCAACCGGGCCGCACTAGTGCGCGCCTGACGCTGCGAGGCTTGGCGGGACCCGCGGCCGCAGAGAGCCGGGGCGCCTGGGGAGAGGGGGAGCCTTGGCCTGGCCACCTACCCCCTCCTGAGCTGCAGCGGGGTCACTGCCCTGCAGGACCCTGGGCTTGGGAACCCTAATTCCCAAGGGGGAGAGAGCGGGAGGCATGCACTTGGAAAGTGGGGGATCGCACCCTGCTGGGTGCTTCTCAGCCCCCCCCTTCCCAACGTGGTTCGTGCACGGTTGGCGACACGAAATTATTCAGATTTAAGTTAGCGAACAGGGTGCCTAACATGGCGGGGGGCGGGGGGAGGTACTGTCAAAACTTATGAAAGACTAAGAATAAAGTGTCCTTTTATTAAAAATAAAGGTCAAGGTAGCCAAACCTCCTAGTCCTAAAAACTATTTTATTTCTGAGTCTTTGAAGTTTTCGGGTAGATTGGGAATCCACGCGTGGAACCACGAACATCTATAGCTTTTGTTTTTTAAGATCCCCAAATCAGTGCAAGCATTTGTCCAGATTCTTGCCAGCCCCCCACGAACTCGCGAATGCAGCCCCGGGGCAGGTTCTAAAGGCGAGGGATTTCCGCCCCCCCAAATCCAATCGGTCCCTGGCAAGGCCAACTAATACTTGCAGTGATTTATTAGTATTATTTTTTTAATTTAAAAAGTAAGCTAGGAAAGATACTCCACTGTGTCTCAGCCTTCTATTCAAACGTGAGTTTTTCTTGGATAATTTGCTCGCACTGGAAGAGGGGACACTGGGGAACCCTGCCCGGGATGGACCGGTCGAGTAGGAAGGCAGCTCTTGGATCCCCTAGGCAAGGAGGAATCGTGGAAGGAAAGGCTGGCCACCATCTTGGGCTGTTGCTGGAATTTTCAGGCATTTATTTCATTTTATTTTATTTTGTTTTTGAGCGAGCGCATGCTAGCCTGGGACCCCTTTAAAGTTAACAGCTAGCCTTAGGCCCTTTTGCAACGACCCCCCAGTGTGCCACGACGGAGCCTGCCCTGGAAGCTCAGTCCGGCCTCTTTGCATATTAAACAGTTCCTGAAATTTACACGTGTTAATGAAATTGAAAGATGGGGGGACTCTGGGATTCCTGGGCGCTCCGCGCGCCCGCCCGTGGGTGCCCTCGTGGCGTCCTCGGAAACGCGCCCGTTCTCCCGGCTTGGATATAGGGTGTTGCTGCTCCCCCAGAACTGCCCCCTCCACTCCGTCTCCCCAGGCTTGCGTGTGGCCTGACCTCCTCTTACTTATCTCCTCCGGAGCCACCACGATCCCACCTCTCCAAATCCCGGAGGCCCCACTCGGGAAGTAAGACACTACACACACACCCGCGCACCCCTCTTCCCCAGTTTGGAGAAAAACAGCCGGAGCAATTTGCATTTCTATGAAAATCTAACTTCGGGGGCTGCGGTGCCCCGGGCCAGGCTCTGCCTGGGGTTGGGGGGGGGACCTCTCTGATTAGTCCCCTCTCCACCGCCGGCGCCCCCGCCTCCTCCCCCTGCGCCCGCCCCGTCCCTCTCCCCTCCCTGTTCTGCCCGGCTTTGATCTCCGCTTAACAACAGTAACGTCACACGGACTACAGGCGAGTTTTGTTGAAGTTGCAAAGTCCTGCAGCCTCCAGAGGGCTGTCGGCGCTGTAGCAGCCAGCAGCTCCGCAGAGGGCGAGCAGAGCGCCGGCCAGCAGCCAGCCACCGCAGCCCGCACGACAGCCCTTTCCCGGCCCCGCGCAGCCCCCTGCCATGGAACACCAGCTCCTGTGCTGCGAAGTGGAGAGCATCCGCCGCGCGTACCCGGACTCCAACCTCCTCACCGACCGCGTGCTGCGCGCCATGCTGAAGGCGGAGGAGACCTGCGCACCCTCGGTGTCCTACTTCAAGTGCGTGCAGAAGGAGATCGTGCCGTCCATGCGCAAGATTGTGGCCACCTGGATGCTGGAGGTGCGGCGCTCAGGACTCCCCTTGCTACGTGTCGCCCCAACCCACACCCTCCCTTCTCTTCCCCTCCCATAGAAAGTTTGCCCGGGTGTAGCTAGGAATCCGAATTTTCAGGATAAATAGATACTGCGCGTATTCTTGAACCAGGAAGGTTGGGGTGTTGAGAATCCCTTTCCCTGGTGGTGGTTGGGGGGTGGGCATTGGGGAGGGGTGTCTTCGAGGGAAAAGGGTGCCAGGGACACCCCAATGGGTGCGAGGGTGCAGGCTTGAATGCGCTTCGTGGGTCCCCCGCTTGCGCCCCATTCCTGCGGCGCCTCCTCTCTGGTAGCCTCTGAGCGGAGCCTCCAGCTGTGTGTGGGGGGGCATAGATTTGATTTTTAAATTAATATCCATGGACACGTGTGCAAGGGCCTCTCGTGCCAGTATTATGCGCCATCTTTGCTCCTTTATTGCGAAGCAAAAGTGTTTATTGATAATTGGGGGCGAGGTGGGGGCGGGGAGCGGCGGCGGGGCGCTGGGACAGGCGCGAGGGGCCGTGCGGCGGCCGGGAGTCAGCCGGGAGGACCACGGCGTAAACTATTTTGGGGGCAACCCTGCTCGAAAAAGGGGGACCCTTTGTTCAAGCCACGGGCCCCTGGGCGCCCTACAAGGGCAGTCTGGCCCAGAGTGCACTACAGGCTGCAAGGTCGCGTGGCCCCCCAGTTGCCCGGGATTGACCCGTGTCCGGATGCATCTGCACTTGGGGGACCTGCCCAGCACAAGCCGTGGAGGGCCAGAACACGTTTTCAGAGGTTCAACTGGCGGCTCAGGGTCCCCAAAGTATTTTTAAATAATTTTTGAAAGTGCAGCGTGGTGCCCTTGCGAAAGGCAAAAGGCGCCCGAGCCTAGGAGAAGGGGGGCCCCGGAGTTTGAGTTCCTGGGGCTCTCACTCCAAGGCACCCGGAGCTCCAGACCCCCTGCTTGGATCAAGGGCCGCCGGAAGGTCATTTTCAGGCGATTTCTAGGCACCTAGTTATTTTTTAAATATTTTTAAATATTTTTTGAAAAGATGACGTCTGGGAAATGCGGCGCGGCGGCCTGGGACGCCACCTTTGTGTCTCGTGGGCGCGCGAGCGGCGCACGGCCCCGGCTTGCGGCCAGATCCTCCCTGGGGTGGGGGGGGGCTCCCCGGACCTGCAAAACCCCAAACTCCAGGAAGGGCCGGGATCCCCACAACCACATCACCCCACCCCACTGTGCCAGCTGCCTCAGGACTTTCCCTTTCAGTTTCGGGGTGGGTGGGCACTGGGCACTCACAGGGCACAAGCGCATCCGAGGGAGTGTCCACAGCGAACCCTCTCCCCTAGCCCTCGGCGCCCCGTGCAATTGTGGAAAGGGATGCAAGGTCACGAGGAGGGAACCCCCCCCTCCCGGCAAGGATGGTCACGAGCCGGGTCCCCGCAGGTCTGCGAGGAGCAGAAGTGCGAGGAAGAAGTCTTCCCGCTCGCCATGAACTACCTGGACCGCTTTCTGTCCCTGGAGCCTCTGAAAAAGAGCCGTCTGCAGCTGCTGGGGGCCACCTGCATGTTCGTGGCCTCCAAGATGAAGGAGACCATCCCCTTGACGGCGGAGAAGCTGTGCGTCTACACTGACAACTCCATCCGACCCGAGGAGCTGCTGGTAATGGGGGGGCCTCCACCTCCATCGACCCCCTTCCTTCCCCTCCCCCATTAGCCTCAGGACCCCCTAGGGAGGTGCGCGCTGCACCAGTGGCAGGAAGTCCAGCCAGCCCCATAGAGGGTACCCAGCTTGCACGACACCCCACATTGCAAGAGAGCCATGTGGCGTCTGCTGGATCCCAGCCGCACCCCACCTCCGCACCCCCCCAACCCTGTCCTGGACTCCCCACCATGATTGAGGAGAAGCCAGTCTCAAACGTGGGCGGGGCGCGCCCCCTAGCGGCGCACGAGCGGCAGTGCTGGCGGTGGGAGGTCTTTTTGTCTGGCAGCTTGTCCCTAAGTCGTGAGAACAGTCTTTTTTGTGCGCACCTTTTTAATTGTTTTGGTATCTGGGGTCCCACGTTGCGCCCACTTCCCTGACCTTTCCCCCAACTTCTGCTACTCTACCCTAAAACCGCAAGAGAAACACCCTCCTCTGCCCAGGAATTGGTATACCCCTCTTTTGACCTTGTTCCCCATTTTCCACAGCAAATGGAACTGATTCTGGTGAACAAACTCAAGTGGAACCTGGCTGCGATGACCCCCCACGACTTTATCGAACATTTCCTCTCCAAAATGCCAGAGGTGGATGAGAACAAACAGATCATCCGCAAGCATGCGCAGACCTTTGTGGCCCTCTGTGCCACAGGTAGGGCTCCCACACCCCCGCCGCCCGGTCCTGATCTGTCTCCAGGGACAGCTCCGGCTCCCCAGCTAGTACCTCCTGCCTGTAGGTCCTCCCTTGGTAGATTATGGTCCCAACACCTCTGGAAGGTTCCCCACTTCCGTGCTCTCAACTGAGGGTGTGGATAGCTTGTTGGGGCTAGATGGGATTGGGTGGCACCCTGTTTTGGCTAGGACCACTCCGCAGAGCCTCCGCGATGGCCCAGCTGTCCTGTGTCGCTCTCTAGTGCCTCCACGCCCCTGTGGCCAGGGGATGCTGTACAGGGTTTACCTCAGCCTCCCGGGAGCTGCCTGCCCCCACCCACCTCCAGCCCTGCCTGTGTCCTCAAGGAGCCCCAGCTGCGGGGGCCCCCTCCTAGCCTCTCCCAGGCTGGGCCACCTGCCAGGGGCGCCTACAGGGGCGGGCCAATGGCCCCAGCGCCAGCCCCACGTGCTACAGTGCAGTTCCAGTGCGGGGGCGGCCAGCTGAGGAGTTGGGAGGCCCAGCCAGGGGTGCTGCAGACCAGCTCTGTGCCTTGGAGTCTTGGGAGAGCTGTTAGAAGTAGAGGGGCATGGATCTCCCTGTTGCCAAAGGACCCTCCCTGGTACTGCCCTGGTCCCAGCCCTGCCTCTGACAGCCACTTCCCCATATAACTAGATGCCCCTCCCTGGAGGCTTAGGGGGATCCTGCACCTCCTCTTCAGACCAGAAAGTAAGGAGGCACAAGAGGGGGCACTTGGTGACTTCTCCCACCTGCCCATGCCGGCCATCACCATGACAGCCCCAGCAGCAGGTATTCCTAAGCAGCTGCGGACTTAAGGATGTTGGCGACTTGAGCTTTCTTGCTACCTGTGGAGAGTGCCAACCCCTCTCTGAGGCCTCCCAAGCAACACAGGGGGCCGGTGGCTGATGGGAGTGCTTAGAAGGATGTGAGGGACGGGGGGCGGCCCTGCTGGCGGGCAGGGCAGGGAGGCGTCTGGCTGGGGCTCCTCTCGGGAGAGCAGAGCCCTTGGAGGCTCCAAGGCAGCCTTTTATGGAGCTGAAAGTGGCTTGGGCAAAGCGGCAGTTTCCCAGAGATAGTGTGAGGGATGGGCAGGCGAGCCTCCCCCAGGCCAGCTCCAAAAGCTCCCCCGCCCCCCAGGACCCTTTGGGCCCTGGCAGGGAAGCCCCCGAGCAAGCATGCACACTGGGCCCCAGCTGGGCACAGCAGACTGCAGGGCCTTTGTGTGAGATAGGGGCCATACAGCAGGATGCAGTGGGACGGCTCCAGTCACCCGGGTGGGCTTTGTGGTGGGCCTGCATCCTGGGACCTACAAACTCTGTCCCTAGTGGGAACTCCCAGCCCCTCTTGTCACATAGGGACCACTCTGTTATAACAGTTTGAGGCACAGGTTGAATGAGGCAGAAATCAGGGCAGGAAAGACTTGCTCTCCACGTGGCAAGGCCCCCAGACCTGGGCTCCTGAGCATGTGTACACACTAGTTAACCTAGGGTTGGGGTTTCCGACACATGCATCCATGGGTGCCCAGAGCACACCCTGGTGTGGAGTACAGACATTGCCCTGTTACTAGACATTAATTCGAAATTGATCTTAAGAAAGGTGTCAACGAGTGTCAGCCCCAAGCATCGAACCAGCAATCTAGGGAGTGAATGGGAACAAACACAGGCTCCTTGGGGGAATAAGACCACTGGCCACTGCACTTGGGTGGGGGGAGTCAGAGCTTCAGAAACAAGGGACTGGTGACCCTGGTCTGAGTGCTTTTCAGACTGGGTCAGGACATGTGCTACCTAACTAAGGCTGGAACCTGTCACTCTCCACAAAAGTGATGCCTGGGACTTAGTTCACTGGGCTAACTCCAAGGTGGCACCTGGAGGTGGTTTTGTCTTGTTTGCCTCCTGTAATGAGGCTGAAGTTGTTTGTTCTCTGTGGATAAGCCTCCCAGGCCACACTGAACAGCCATTGCCCCTGTGATTACCATCCCCTGTGCCCCTGGGCACCCATTCCTCCTCATGTCTCCCTTTGGACTGGAGCCCTGATTCTCAGGCTAAGCGGGTGGCCATCCCCATTGGCGATCCTGACTGTGACAAGAGAAAGCAACCGACAGGTTCATCTTTGGCAGCGGGGTCAAGTGTGGAGGTGCTGAGTCCCTTGGGGGCAAGGAGCTAGCCTGAAGCTTGGGGAGGGGGCTTGCAGGTGTATTTTGGGGTAACATGGCCCCCAGCATCTGACAGTAGGATAGACTGCAAGCTAGTACTGTTCTGGGTTTATTTCCCACTCAGGGCTCATGAGCATAGGCTAGTAGTCCAGGACCCCCAAGGCCAGGGGCTTTCTGATGAGGTTATTTCGGAGGTCACATGTGCTGGCTGCATGTGATACAGTATCCTAGTCCCTGGGATCAGTAAGTCAAGAAAGCTGGAGGTGTAAAGGGGTGTAAGAATTCTTAGCCTTTTGTCACTGACCAGAGACATGGAAGGAGCTTTGTGGAAAGTCAGTAGGGGCAAGGGCGGCTAGGTTCCTCCTGCGGAGGGGCCTGGGTCCATCACCCCCGTACCAGGGCTACACATGGCTAGGTCCCACTGACAGGGAGTGGCTCGGTCACACTCTGCAGCTTGCTGAAATTCCTCTGGGATCTGACCAGTTGTCTCCAGGTCTGTCTGTTGCCAGGGTGGTCCTGGACCTCACAGCAGTCCACCTGGCTCCAAGGTCCAGATGTTGAACCAATACCTGTCTCTGTCTACTTGAGTCTTTTTTCCAAAAACTTGAAGGAGCTTAAAAAACATGGCCTCTTCTGGCCACTGTTTTCTTCCTTGGAACCCAGAGCCTCCTGCAAGCTAGAGGGCCCTACCACTGGGCTGTACCCCCAAACTTTTTAAAGTTTTGAGACAGAAGCCTTGCTAAGTGCAGCAACATGTAGATCTGCGCCACCTAGCAGTCCCTGAAGGAGCTAGGCGTTCACAGGGCACTGGGAGGCGGGAGGCGTCCCTCTAACTGACCACAGCCCCTGCAGTGTCTCTGCCCATGACCACCTATGTCCCTCTCTGCTGCAGATGTGAAGTTCATTTCCAACCCGCCCTCCATGGTGGCTGCTGGGAGTGTGGTGGCCGCACTGCAGGGCCTGCACCTGGGCAGCCCCAATGACTTCCTGTCCTGCTACCGCACAACACACTTCCTCTCCAGAGTGATCAAGTGTGACCCGGTGAGTGAGCTTTGAAGGAGGCAGCTAGCACCAGGGACCCTTGGTGAGGGGCTGGACACAAGCCTTCATGAGGCAGGAGAGCAGAACTCCGGGTCCCCTGACCTCTGTCCAGGCTTGAGGCTTTGGGGACTTCCAGTAGCCCTGGAGAGAGCCATGTGGTGAAAATGAGGCTGAGCCCCCCGCCCCAGCCTTGTTTGGGCCACATCTCCCTTGGAGCCTTTGGGGTTTGAGTCTACAAAAGACTCTGGTGTGGACCCTTCACCTGAAGAGGGCACATTCCACAACTTTCTTTGGGGGACAGAATGTATGCCCTGCGTGTATCAGGCGTAGTGTGCCGTAAGTGTCCCTTTGAGCCGAGAAGTGTAGCTGAATCTGTTGGTGCTCTTGAGGTGGACGAGGGCTGGTGTAGAGGGACAGGCAGAAAGGGCCCTAAAACCTCAGTCCAGTTCTGTCACACGTGCTCAGGGAAGGAGTGGTCAGTGTGAGTCAGTACCTCTGGGCAGTGAGCCAGGGCACAGTAGCCACTGTCTGGAGTCAGCCTTAGGGACCCCACTCCCAACGCTTCAAGTGTACCCCAGCACGTAGCTCCTTCCTCAGGATAAGGAGAGAGTTCAGGCAGGTAGGAACCCTCAGGCTTCAGGGAAAGATTTGAGTGTGTCTGTGGGTCCACACCAGGTTACAGGCCTCAGTTTCCCCATCTATAAAATGGAATTGTTTGCCCTGCCACCCTCCTTGGCTATGGTGAATATCGAACGGGGTAGAAACTGTAAAGGCTGTAAATCTGGGGCTTCCCGGAGCTGGCTTCCTCCCTTGGGGATCACCCAAGGGCAGAAGGCTGTGAGGTACTCCTCATGAGAAGGGGCCCTGGGTTCAGACTTCCCACCTATGTACAGTCAGAAGCTTCTCTCCCCAGCATCCCCAGTGAGATGGGTGAAGGGGTCAGAGGACCTGGACCCACCAAAGCTGTCACAGGTGCTGGGGATGACCTGGTTCACTTGGAGCCACCTACAGGAGGGTGCATCCAAAGAGGCAGATCAGGGGAGGATATATGAGGTGCGGCCATAGGGGGGTCCTGGAAGGGAATTCCTGCTGGGCAGACCTAGCATGGGCAGGCAGGCATCCTGTGTCCCACCCACAAGAGAGGGTTGGCTATCCCCTGGCACAGGGGCAAGGAGAGGCATTTGGCCCCGAGGAGGACCTCCGGGCCCGGAGAGGCTGAGGACCGGAGTTGGCACTTTGTGGAAACACACTGGCAGCGCCGCCACTGGGTCTGGGAAGGGAACGGGAGAGTTTTGGTTCATCCTTACTCTGAGCAAAGCCTGCCTCTTGGGTCCTGGCCTCTGGCTAAGCCAGGACCCCCTTGGTTCTCACCCACCTCTCCAGGACTGTCTCCGTGCCTGCCAGGAGCAGATCGAAACCCTTCTAGAATCCAGCCTGCGCCAGGCCCAGCAGAACCAGGACCCCAAGGCCACTGAGGAGGAGGAGGAGGAGGAAGAGGAGGAGGCCGGCCTGGCCTGCACACCCACCGACGTTCGGGACGTGCACATCTGAGGACGCCGGGTAGGCGGGTGCCACTGAGCAGCGGCAGCCCGCAGGGAGGAAGGAGCCACCCGGTGCTCCCAATCGTGTCCCTCCCAGACATTTCCTTACCAGGAGGGGAAGGTTCCTTCTCTTTGTTGGGTGTTTTTGTTTTGTTTTGTTTCGGCCTTGACTCTCCTTTCTGTGACTAAGCAAAAGAGAAAAATGATACCTGAAAATTGTCTTAAAGAGAGAGAGGGGGAGGGAGGGAGAGAGCAAAACCCTGAGTGAGAGGAAGAGGGTGATGCTACAAAAATGGGATTTTATGCCCCAGTAATCAACTAGTTTTCTATTAATGTGCTTGTCTGTCGTAAGCATAGAATTAACACACAGGGACGTTCCACAAGCACTGGATTTGATTCTTTTATGTGTTTTTTTAAAAAGCCTAAAAAACATTGCTTTGAAAAAAAAATTCAGCAAACTTTTTTAAAATAGAAGAGGGTTTTAGGTAGAAAAATGTATTCTACTTCCCGAAAAAGCATAGCTTAGGCGGTCCTTGGCCACGCTCCCGTTTGCTCAACACAGTCACTGGCCGTCACCTGCACCCCTGCTTTATCCCGAGGGTGGGTAGGCCTGTGACCTCGTTACCGTATTGATGGTCGATGCCACCTCTCTAGCGGCTGTGTGGTGTGATGCATGGCACCCTGAGGGCCTGTCTTCTGTACCCTCCCTCCTGCAGGTTCACAGTGCACCAGCCACATTTGCAGGAGGGGTGAAAGGCCAGCTGTCCCACTTGTATGCCACACGCTCCTGCTGCAAGGGGATGAATAGTGACGTAATATATTCTATTTTTGTAATCTTGCTATTTTTGTAGTTCCTGTTTAATGAGATGCTGGTCTCTTGCCTGCCGGCCCTGCAGCCCGCTCACATCATGTTAACCCCACATCTGTTCTCTTCGTGTGTGTGGTTTCTGTTGTTATTGTGGCTTTCTTTTTGGTTTGGTTTTGGTTTTGTTTTGTCTTGTCCATATTCCAAAACTATTCCACTTCAGAGCACTTTTGGTCGGCTAGCTGGAGGCAGAATTGCCATAGCGGAGGCACGGGGAAGGGAGCGGTGTTCTCACGGAGTGCTTCGGAATATCTGCGCACTTGTTCAGAGGTTGGCACAGCAAGTGTGTGGCACCACGGTGTTGACAGAGGGGCCGTTTGAGGTTTTGTTGGGTCAAGAAGTGAAAGCCGTACACGCTAGCACCGCACCACACCACCAGCACCCATCCTGACCTGTCCCTTAGAGAGGTTGGAGTCCACAGGGTCCTTGGTACTGGCAGGAAGGCAGACCCAGACAAGAGCAGTTCCAGGGTAACGCTGAGGTGTTTCACAGCAGAAGATTTTTAAACACTAAAATATATAATTTGTAGTTAAGGCTACAAAAGAGTATTTATTGCACCTTTCTACGGCCAGTGTGATTGATAAAGTGATGCCGTCCCCCCATTCAGACGCCCCTTTCTACGGCCAGTGTGATTGATAAAGGAATGCCATCTCCCCCCGATTCAGACACCCCTTTCTGCCCTTGGCATGGAAGGGTTAGCATGAGAGTTTGGTCCTTTTACAGTGGCCTGGTAAATTAGGGTACCCCAAATGAGTTCAATTCCGGAACATTCTTACCCTCTCCCCCCATTTAAAACAAGTTTAGTGACGATAGGCAATTTGCACATCTTGGATCTGTATCTTTTTATTTAGGAAGTGTTGAAGGGAGGCGGTGAGAGTGGAGGCTGGAGAGGATGTGAGGAAGGAAGTGTGCTCGAGGGGACAGGGCGGTGACCGCAGGAGGGGACAAGCTGTGGCTCGGTGGGGAGCCAGATGGCCGTTGCTCTAGGTGTCTTTCACTTTGCTGCTATTGCAGGGTCAGTTGTACGTCTTGTTTTTTTTTTTTTTATCATACCGTATACTGCCATGTTATAGTTTAATTTCCTCATAGAAAATTGTATTATGAATGCCATTTTTTTTCTTTTGTACTTTTTTATGTGATCAGTTTTGACTTAATGTGATTACTGCTCTATTCCCAAAACAGGTTCCTGTCCGCAATACCTCATGCTTCACGTAGCCATGCTCAGGCCTGGCGGGCGGGCGGGCGGGCTGCCTCCAAGGACCCCAAACCCCGCCTGGTGGGGATCGGCCAAGGCCGCGTCACCGAGGCCCCGGTGCCCATCATGCTGGGCCTTTCAGCTGATCTGGGACACACCATCTCAGCCATGCGACAGCTGTATCATTCTTTGTGTAGTTATGAACATTGTGTTGTTATTATTATTATTATTATTGTAGCAAGCCTGTCTTGCGTGCCACCGTGCTGCTGGGCCCATAGGAACATCTTGGAATGGCTTTGGAATTTGTTCCAAGTTTCGGGTGCATTGTTTAATCTCTTAGGTTATAGTGTTCTGTCTTATGCTAATTTAAAGAGACTCGTCTCTGGGAAGGCAGGCTCCTGTGCTGCAGGGCCCCCCAAGTTCCCTTAGCAAGCTGCCAAACCAAAACAATTTGAACTCCCGCCAATGGCAGCCGCAAGACCCTTTTGGCTGCGGCATCAGTCTGACCCAGGTGGGGCCCTTGAGGGACAGCATGCCCATGGTGGTGAGTAAGGGCAAGGTCTTTAACACTAAGCGTGACAAAAGGCCGAAGGCTGGTGGCAGGTCCACAGAGCACAGCCGGCTGCCCTGCGACACGCAAGCTTCGAGGGGCTCTGGTTGGCCAGGTTGAGTCTGTGTTTCTGGTTGACACACTGCGGTGCTTCCCACCACGGACATGTAACCGGCACGTTCCAGCAAAAAAAAAAAGACAAACATGAAGTCTAGAAATAAAATTGGTAAAACCCCAGTGTGGTGACTTGGCTTGAGGGCTGGGCTGGGCTGGGCTGGGCTGGCCTGAGAGAGGGTTCGCTGGCTGCTCTTGCAGAGGACCCAGGTTCAATTCCCAGAACTCACCTGGTGGCTAACAACCAGTAGCTCAGTTCCTGGAGCTCTGATGCCCTCTTCTGATCTCTGTTAGCATTGTACAACACAGGGCCAGGGCCAGGGCGGGGTGCACTTACACACATTCAGGCAATGTACTCATACACATAATTTTTTTTTAATGTGGGGGAACATGCCCTGTCATAGCTGTGCACCGCCCCCCCCGTCCTCTGCACCCTAGGGTGTTTGCACGTGGTGGCTGGAACCTGGGCTTCTGGCGTCAGAGTGAGGGGAGCAGTGGCCACTGATCAGAGCGGCCCCAGCCCATCACTGCCAGCTTGCCCTCCTGCTTGTTTGCAGATGGGAAGATCAACAGAGCCCACGTTTGCTGCCCCTTGTCTGGCGCAAACGAGTGTTTGCTCTGGGTGAATCACCATCAGCTGCTGCCAAGCCTTCAGATGGTGATGTGTGGTGTTAGGGCTGTGGCCCAAGCCAGCCTTTCACACCGTTCTTGGGGACCTGGGTGGCCTTGTTAGACTGCTGTGACGCTCTCTGGGTGTCAGTTGATCATGACTGGCCTTGTTTCCAAACCTTGGGGGAGGACATCGGTACTATGAAGTGTCCGGACTCTGCAGAGCCTCAGGATCCCTGTCGGCACAGCCTGACCTGCCCTCACTAGGTACAGTGGCTCAGAAGCCACATGGAGGCTCTGGACCTCTGTCAAGAGCAACTGTGCCTCTTCAGATACCCAGGCCTTTAGGCATCACCTACTGTGTGCTCTTGCTGCTCTGCAGGGTGGCATCGGGGTCTTCGTTGGCTGTGTTGGTGATTCAGCCTGGCCCCTGTCCTGGGAAGGTGAGGACTATAGGTGACACCTACTTGGCCATCATGGTGTCACCCTGAGAGTGGAGGCAGCCAGAATGTGTGTGGGTGGGGAGCCCACAGAGTGACCCATGGGCAGATGAGGCCTCTATCAGGCCATCCCCCCAGGGAAAGCTTAAGAGACCACCATAAGCAGAGGAGGCTCCCCATGCCCCCTCTGGTGGCCTATGAGGGCACAGCGTCATCTCTGAGGGCAGGGTTCACAGAGGTCCTGGAGGCAAGGACCTGTTGCAGGGCTTTGCAGGAACCTTGCAAGTCTCCCCCACCGCCACACAGTGCCTGGACAGGAGGCCTTGGCCATTTGGGAGACAGGCTGCAGGGCTGTTGGGTGGAAAAGGAAGTACAGAGCTGCTTCCCCAGTGGGGCTCGGGAGCCCTGGGGAGGCCACCAGAGGTAGCTGGTGATCACATGGGCTGTGGGTTTGTAGGCTGATGGACAGGACAGGGGAGAGACTGAAAAACAAGCAGGCTGAGCAGGCCAGAGACAGACAGACGCAGGCAGAGCAGTCTGGAGCGCAGAGGCAGGCTGACCACACACTTGGTGGAAGGCAAGCGGGTGGTGCTGGTGTCGAGTCACTGCTTGTCAGGTGGTCGTGGAAGGACCCCCATGTGGGATGAACACCCTCATACAGATGGCTGGCACCATGGTGGGGTCTCCAGAGGTGCCTTTGACTCTTCATCCAGGGATCTGTGATGCCTGGCCATGAGTGTTCTCTGAGCCTCTCCCCTTGGCCTAAGGAGTGAGACCCCAGACAGCTGGCTACTCCAGTCCTGATCCTAAGGGGCTCTGCAAGGGGTGGTGGAGGCCTGGTCCCCTTTTGGGGTATGTGGGCACTCCTATTGACAGTAATGGTACACAGCCTTGGAGGACCCTCAGAGACAGACTCAGGCCACTGCCCTCCCTGCAGACTTCTCAGAGTACAAAGGCCCGTTCTGTCCTCTGCCCAGCAGCTCCGTGGGCCCCTACCCTGGCCAGACTCCCCATCCTGCTGGGCAGTCCCACCTCCTCCAATGGGGCCAAGGTCTTGAGCCTGGCTGGCCTCTCCTGGCCTTGGCTCCCTAGACCTGGGGACTGAAGCTGGCTACCCACCCTCCCCACTGCCCGGTCCTGCCCAACCTTCATTCTGCAGAGAGGGGATCTCAGCAAAAGTCTATACCCCCCACACTATATAGGTGGCCCTGGGGGCCCCCTCCTGACTTGGAATCCTGGCTCTCGATGTGAGGGAGGCAGCCTGCTGTCCTCAGGCCGGTCGAGCTGCTGCACGCTGCCCTAGAAAGCAAGCCGAGTTCACTGGGTGGAGGACCTGAGCTCCCAGGGCCCAAGAAACATCTGCAGTGGGAGCTGAGGACTCCAAGGGGCTGAACACCGAACAGAAGCAGAGGGTTGGGGCCATGTGCCCTCCCTGCAGTGCCCCAGAGCCCTTACCCGCTGTCATCCCCACCCATAGGGCTCCTCAGGATTGCACCTGGCCTGTGTTGGTGGGATGACCACACCATAGGACCTGGGCTGGGAGCTGGCACTGCCATGGGTTGGTGTGGTGCACACAGGCCAGGTTGCATGGGGTGAACAGGCTTGGATGCAGGGGACTCACATGTGCACAGCAGCGTGCTGGTGGGGTATGGCACTGTCCCCCCTCCCTGGTTGGCCTCTCCTGCTGGGGGCTGCTGTTCCAGGAATGCCTTTGATCAAGCATTTGTACTAGAGGGCCAAGTCAGTGCAAACCTCTAATCCCTTCCCAGTCCCTTTACCATGGGGGCCCAGCTCCAGCTCCAGGGCCAGCAGAGAATAGCCTGGGTGGTGTTGATGGTGGGCAGGCAATTCAGGGCCTTGGGGCCCACACCTGGGGCTATTCTTACTTCTACTCACAGGGGCAATCAAGGAGAACACAGAGAAGGGTGAAGGGGCTTTGAGCCTGTCAGAGGCTGTGGTGTCCTTTAAACCTTTCAGTTGTCCCCAAGCAACAGCTAAAACAGCTCATCAGCTAGCAGTCACTTTAGAGCTAAGAGGCCTCGCCCCAAGACTATCCATGTAGGGACCCCAGGCTCAGGGCACAGGGCAGCCTTCCATTCTCAGCAGCAGGTGGGGGGTTGCACGTCTTTAACAGTCATGCTTTTACTCTCTTTCCCTGTTGCTGTGGTAGAATAGCTGATGAATGCAACTTACGAGAGAAAGTGTTTATCTGGCTCACAGTCTGAGGACGCAGTCCATCACGGTGGGGTAGGCATGGCAGCAGGAGCGTGAGGCGGCTGGTCATGTCATATCTACAGTCAGGAAGCAGAGAGAGAGACTGTTGCTCGACTCATTCCTCTTTTTAAAAATTTTTTATTTATTATAGTTTATGTGTATGAGTGTGTTACCTGCATGTAGGTAAGTGCACCCGTGTCGTGCAGTGCCCGAGGAGGTCAGAAGAGGCTGTCAGATCCCCTGGAACTGGAGTTCAGGACGGTTCTTAGCTCTCATGTGGGTGCTGGGAACTGAACCTGGTCCTCTGCAAGAACAGCCAGGGCCTTAACCACTGAGCCACCTCTTCAGCCCCCCTTCTTCCTTTTTATACAGTCCAGGACCCCAACCCATCCTTCCCACCTCAATTAACCCAATCAAGATAATCCCCTCCGCAGGCCTTCCCAGAGGCCCATCTCCCTGTCCAGTTGACAATTAACTGTAACCATCACACTTAGGACCCCAACTGTAGGGTCAGGATAATGGCCAGCACAGAACAGACCCCCTGGGCCCTGGCTCCATGAGTGGATTCTTTTGGGGGGCCTTAGACCTCAGACTGTGGTTTGAATGTGAAAAGTCCCCCATGGACTCTTGTTTGAACACTTGGTTCCCAGCTGGGGGTGAAGGTTACCAAACCTCTAGGAGGTGAAGCCTTGCTGGAGGAAGTGGATCCTGAGGGCTGGGCTGTAGCCCAGCCCAACTTCCTGCCCGCTCTCTGCTCCCCAAGGGTGTAGAGACCTGGTACCTCACACCCCTGCTGTCTCACCTTCCCCACTGTGACCACAGCCCCTCAGACTGTGGGCCGGGATAAACCCTTCCTCCACTAAGTTCCTTTAGTGAGGTTCTTGTCACTGACAACAGCAAAGGAAATGACTAGATTATCAGAGTCACCTGCAAATTTGTGCTTGGCCTTGGATTTTTTTTTTTTTTTTTTTTTTGGTCTTTTTTTTTTTGAGACAGGTCTCCCTGTAGCTCCAGCTGTCCTGGATTCACTATGTAGACCAGGCTGGCCTTGTACTCATAGAGATCCACCTGCTTCTGCCTCCCAAGTGCTGGGATTAAAGGCGTGTGCCAGTTCTTCCGCTTGCATATAATTTGTCATTTATTAATGATGAGAGCAAATTTGCATAGTAATTATATGGGTGTGGTTTTTTGCATCAAAAATTCATCTTGATGAATGAGCCAGGTATGGTGGCACATGCCTTTAATCCCTGCACTTGGGAGGCAGAGGCAGGTGGATCTCTGTGAGTTCAAGGCTAGCCTAGTCTACATAGTGAGTTCCTGGCTTGCTGGGGCTACAGGATAAGATAACTCTGTCTCAAAAAAACAAACAAAATATTCAGTCTGGGCTGAATATTTGACACTATGGGATGCATAGCGTCTTCAACATCTTTCAGCCTTGGTCAGTCAATATTTTGATTGTATTCTTGTCAGTGCTGAGAACACCACTTTATGTAACTATGCAGTACAAGTCCACAGAAGGATGTTTAAGTGCAGTTCAGAAATGGTTGGAAATTCTGTCCTAGTCACTACACAAAATTCAGTGAACCATTTTTATGACAACCAAGTTAGCAACTCAAACAGCAGTTCTTAAAAAAAATGTTCTAGCCACCTGCAGTGGTGCACACCTTTAATCCCAGCACTAAGGAGGCACAGGCAAGTAGATCTCTATGAGGTGGAGGCCAGCCTGGACTATATAGTGAGTTCCAGGATAGCTGGGGCTGCAGGGAGACCCTGTCTCAAAACAAAACAAATTAATAAAAACCTGGGGCTGGAAAGATGGCTCAGTGGTTAAGAATGCATATTGGTCTTCCAGAGGACCCAGGTTCAGTTCCCAGTGTCCAGGTAGGGCAGTTCACAACCACCTCCAACTCCAGCTCCAGGGAATCCAACCCCATCTTCTGTTCTCCCCGGACACCTGCAAATGTGTGGCATACGCACTCTCACATATTAATTAAAAATAAAATGTTCTAAGTGCTCGGGAGGCAGAGGCATGCAGATCGTTGTGAGTTCAAGGGCAGCCTGGTCTACATAGTGAGTTCAGGTCAGGTGGAACTTCAGGGAGACCCTGTCTCGAAAAGACAAAAATAAAATAAAATGTTCTAACAAAATTCAATCCAAAGGTACACTCATTACTTATGCACAGAGGGTCAACGGTAGGAAACTATTAAAAGTCTCTCTTTTCTGTAATGAAATCATTGTGTCTAATGAAACCATGTTCTCTGCATGTGCAGTAAAAACCACCAAGTTCATAGCATCTCACAGTCTGAATCTGAGCTGAGGCATTCCAGGCAGTGCTCACTGGCATCGCATGGTGCAAGGGTATGTTGTGCAGGAGTGCGTGTTACCGTTCAGTTCCAAGGCTGCGCTGGTCACGTGATATGACACAGGCGAGCGCCACCAGAAACATTACTTCATTACACGTTTGATCTTTAATTAAGTTTTGGCCGTTTTGGTCGTTAGCTAAGTTTGTTGCAACTCTGTGTTGGCTTAAGGGAGTCCATGCAGGGTTGGGACCTGACCCCGTGGAGGCTGACTGGTCCCTGCGGCGGCTGACGGCAGGGCAGGTGTGGGCAACTGTATCTGGCAGGCCCGCTCTGGTCCTTGCAGAGTTGTGAACCCCAAGGCACGGTTTCCTGGTCTCTCTCTGGGGTGCAAGACTTCTGCCACCTGCTGGCTGAGGTGGTGGAAATCAGGGGCTAAGGTCAATCCCTGGCAGAAGTTCCAGGCTAGGGGGAGTCTGCGTTGTCTAGATCCTTTACCCCGCAGGCAGGGAAACGACAGCTCTGACAGGGAGAGGGACCTGCTGTCAGTGTCATCAGGCCATCATGACTAACAAGGACTAACAAAGTGTTTTAAACAGTAGAAGCTGACGCAGGGAGGATACAATCCCGTGTGGCTGGTCTACCCACCTTCCTGGCAGGCCTTAGTGTCCCGGCCTGTAGCTGCAACACTCACCTCTTGCAATACTGCAGGTCACCTGTGTGCAGCAGAGAAGGCCCTCTCCTGTGCCCCTCCTCTTTAAAAGGAGGCCATCGCTTCTCAGCTATTTGACTGACATCAAGTGTAAAAGGACAGAGGTTCCCTGATCTACAGCAGCCTCATCAGACCTCAGCTGAATAGGATCCACAAAGACCCCAGTTCCAAAGTGGCCACATTCACAGATGCTGCATGGAGCTGACTTCAGGGTGTCTTTATGGAGGCCACGATTCAGTCACGTTCTTGAGAGCAGGCTCCCAAACTCCTGGTTCAGCATGCACCGTAACAGCAGGTCTGCCCTGTTTACACTGGGGGAAGAGGCCCAGTCTTCGACCCTTGGGCTCCCTGGTACACTCTCTTCAGCAGGGGTTGTCCCCCATGCTAGGTTCCATCTAGGGAGAACCAAGGACAGTGTTCAGAATCAAGTTAAGTGAGTCTGGGAACACCCTCCCAGACACGAGGGTATATCTCCTAGGTGATCCCAAACCCAGAAATATTGCCTGTGAAGATGGGACCATTGCAAGCTCCACCTGCTTGACTACCAACTTCAAGTTGGTTATCAGGTCTGTGAGAAGGCAGAATGAGGTCACCTAGTCCCTAGTCACACAGGTCTGTCCTCACAAGCGGTCAGGATACAGCCACACAAAGGACCACGCAGACACAGGAAGACGCTGTACTGTCAGCAAGCCAAGGCAAGGGGCAGGAGAAGAGCTGCCCTGAGTCACCCCCACCTCGCAGCTGCAGCCCCCAGTGTAGGGGACAGTGAGCCAGCACCGGCTGTTGGAGCTGCTCAGTGATGGAGCCTTATATGGCCCCAGGAACCCACAGCATCAATCACGCTGGTGGCTGTGGCAGGAAGGCCAGAGTGGGTCAGTCTCAGGAAACCACGTTGAGAAGTGGATGACCTCAGAGCTGAAGCAACACTCAGGAAAGTGGGCTTGGTCAGAGCCAACTGAAGGAGGGAGGCTCAGGGCAGGGAACAGCTGGCAGGTCAGAGGTCCCATGGAGACACTGAGGACACAGGTCCTACAAACCCAGCCCTGTCACTATGGTGGTTTGCGTGTCCCCCACAGGTTCCAAGTATTTGAACAGTCAGTCAGTTGGTGGCGCTGTTTGGAGAGGGTCATGGAATGCCTTGGCGGTGTGGCCATGCTGGAGGAAGCACATCACTGGGGGCAGCTCTTAAGAGAGTCCTTAAGGCTGGCTAGACTTGCAGCTTCGCTCCCGGCTCCGGTTCCTGTACCTGCCTGAATATCTGAGCACTCAGCTCTCTGCTCTGGCCACCTCTGCCGCCATGCCTCCCTGCCATGATGGACTCTTACCTGGAACTGTAAACCCAACACACTTCCTTCTCTAAGTCACCTTGGTCATGGAAGTGACCAACTCTGACACACTCAGGTGTGGACTCACCCACCACTTCCTGCTGTTGTCTTTGGTGTTCCAAGCTGTGACCTCCAAACACAGTTCTCCTTGGGACTGATACCATCCTTCCCAGGGACACCTACCACCATCTCAGCAGGAGGAGAAGCCCTGCCCACTCCTGACCCCAGAGGGGAGAGCAGCAAGACAGGGCAGAATGACCCTGAGCACACTGTCAGGAGCTCACCCGCCTGCTGGGGTAACCAAGGGGTGTGGGGAGTGGACGGGCTCTTTAGAAGGGGCAGAGTGAACAGAGGTCAAGGTCAGGTGGTGGGAGTCAGGCAGGTGGCTTTGGGTTAGTGATGAGCAGGGGCTGATATGGGAGGATGGGTATACACAACACAGGGATTAAGGGAGAGGGAAAGGGGGGAGGGAGGAGGGAGGGAGGAAAGAAGGGGGGAGGGAGGGGAGAGGGGGAGAGAGATGGGAGGCAGAGAGGAGTGTGTGAGGCAGAGGCCCTACACAGTGCTGGTACCCTTCTCTCCCAGGATCTATTACCTGAGGCACCAGACCCAAGTCAGGGTGTGACATGGCTGCCTGCCGACTCAGACTCCCTGAACCCAGACCCCAACACCCAGCACACTCAGCACACACGACTCCAGACTTCTGCTTTAAAATATGCTATTTATTTGTTTCTGCAATTAGAAAACACATGATCAGATGTTGACTAGAACAACATTAAGTGTCTACCCAGAAAGACAGTAGCCAAGGGCCTTCTGAAGCGGTACAGAGGCCTCACTCTGGGGAGCCACTGGAATAAAGATGCTGGAGACCTACAAAGGCCACGGAGAATGGACTCAGAAGCCCAAAACATGGCCCAGCCCACCTGTGGGCTCAGCACACACAGCCTCAGACACCATGTTCCAGGCTTTCTGGCTTGGCTGGGCTGATGGGTCAAGGGAAGGGGACTCCATTTCCCTAGGGGACTACCACACCACATAGATCCCTGGGCCATGAGCCCCCACCCCCGACCCCAAGACGTTCTGGAATGATGCTAAAAACAGTGCTAAGGCCACAGGACTGCAGCCCTAGAGCTCAGGAGTTTGAAACAGGAGGATAACTGTTCGAGGCCAGCCTGGGCTACACAGACCCCATCGCAAAAAGAAACTGAAATCCCAAGTGGCATGAATCCACATGACCCCTTCATGTCATGCGTGGACTGAAGTGGGGCACAGGAGGGAGGGCACACCAATGTGTGCCGTCATGTGTCTACACATGTAGCTTGCCCGAGAATGCCAAGCCTGCTCCTGCCAGCTCAGTGCAGCACTGCCTGAGGGCACCACGGAGGACTACGGCCTGCCGCTGAAGGAAGCGCAGCACCCCAGGCCCCACAGCACTCACATCTGGAGTGAACCACTTCTTGCGGTTTCTAAGAGGGGTTCCTCTGAGCCACTTCTTAACGTGCAGAGCTCATCCCGCACCCCATCTGGGAACAGCATGAAAGTCGTGCTCAGCATCCTGGAATCAGGCTGGCCTTGCCCTCTCACCAGGTGTCCAGGGTAAACTGAGTCTAGACGAGCCCTGTGGGCAGAGCAGGACCCTGGGTCCTCTGCAGGGAAGTAGGGGTCCAGCAACACAGACAATGACCCGCATGTTGGAGACACGGCTGTGCAGCACACAGCACGTGGGTCTAGGGTGGCGGCCAGCTCTGCTGCGGGGCCCTCGGAGCAGGTGGGTCTATTCCCTCACCCTTGTTGTGGTGCCCACCTCGGGGCTGTTGAAGGATGGAATGCACACAGGAAGCTGAGGTCAGGTGCAAAGCTCAACAGATGGCTAGGGATTCGCCATGACTCCATTCACCTGTTTCGCACTGGCCTGTCTCTGAGTCCTACCACTGGGTAACCCCACCCAGGGCCAAGCCTGCTGGAGGGACAAAGCTACCCACTCTAGCCAGCAGCCTCTCACCTGTACCCTGTGTGGAAGGTGTGGCAGGCAGACCCAGTGAGGGGGCAGGCCTGGGGGGGGGCAGGCCTGGGGAGGGGCAGGCCTGGTGGCGGGGGCAGGCCTGGGGGGGGCAGGCCTGGTGGGGGCAGGCCTCGGGAGAGACAGGCCTGGGGAGGGGCAGGCCTGGGTGGGGAGGCAGGCCTGGGGAGGGGGGCAGGCCTGGTGGCATCCCACCCAGGCAGAAAGCCCCCAGGAGAGGCTCCCACACAACAAAGAGCTCTGATTGCCTTTAATCGCATTCCCAACACTCAATTCGAAGCCTCACAGTGACTAGAAGCTGATGGCAGGCCCTGCCGCAGCGATCTTGAAGTCCGGCTGCACGTTGAGGAGGGAGCACAGCTGAAAGCAGACCAGAGATGGGATTCCATGGCTTCCGCTCGGCAGAGGGCTTGCTTTCCTCCTCCCAACCCCAGCCCAAAGGCCGTCCCCGACCTGTTCCCAGCCTGTAGAGTGTCTTGCATGGGACGTCCTGCTCTAGGTTCTTCTATGGGGCACACACAGCCTGACACCAACATGGCCATCAAGTGAACCCCAGGGCCTGCGCCAGCCCCACCATGCACAGGCACTCCATACCTGTCTGAATTTCCCTCGGATTCTGTCCAGGTCCTCGTGAAGCCCCTTGTAAGTTGGGTCGTCATAGGGGAAGTCCTGCAGCAGCCCGATCAGGGTCTCCAGCACCTTCATCTTTCTGCTGGGAAGCCAAGGGAAGGCCATCAGCCCAGGGACCACAGCCCCAGCTCTGGTTCCTGCCCTGGGCAGCATTAGAGAGTGCCTGCTCTGGGAACAGGTGCTCAGGAGAGGGGCCTGACTCCACAGGGGACCACAAGCTGCAGTGGGATGGTAGCCAGGTTCAGCAGCCAACACTGACTCCACTTGGATCAGACTGCCCCATCCCTCCTTGGGGGGGGGGGGGCTGCCTTGCCTGCCACCTGCTCACACTAAAGCAGGCAGATCATGTAACAAACATTCAGAGGCTCCCAGAAGCCCTGTCTCAGTGGCAAGCATCCATGCCCTCACTTCAGAATCTGGGTGTGGTCTGGGTTGTAGAAACTCAAAGCGCTTCAAATAGAGGGCAGGTCCCACAAGGCGGGTGGGGGGGTGTGCCATCCTCCCCGCCTGTGGTCAGTGCCCCCCATCCTTTCCACCTGTGGTCAGTCCCTGCCATCCCCCCCGCCTGTGGTCAGTCCCCACCATCTTCCCCTCCTGGCTGGTCAGTCCCCACCATCCTCCCCTCCTGGCTGGTCAGTCCCCACCATCCTCCCCTCCTGGCTGGTCAGTCCCCACCATCCTCTCCGCCTGGCTTGTCAGCTCCCACCATCCTCTCCACCTGTGGTCAGTCCCCACTATCCTCCCAGAGTGGCTTGTCAGTCCCCCTCCCAGGCCAGGTCAGTCAGCAGGTGTCATGACACAGCCTAAGCCTAGGCTTGTGTTGTGGGCAGGCGGCCTTTCACTCAGGGGCTCCTCCCCAGCCTGCTGATGCAGAAGGACGGGCTGGGCTCACAAGGGCCAGACAGGCAGGGCACAGCACACAAGATGCTGAGGCTAGACTCAATGCAGAGCAGTAACGCTCACTCAGGCTGTGCATGTCAGAAAGGAGTCACATGCATCAGAGCACATTCTGTTATCTGTGGTGGCACGTGCCTGTGATCCCAACACGTGGGAGGCTGAGGTTGGAGGATTGCTGTGGGTTGAAGGCCAGTTTGGGCTACAGAGTAGGACTGTGCCTCAAAAAAACAACAGAGAAAACCAATTGCCTTAGGTTGGTGATGAGATGCCGTACACAGTGAAGTCAGGCGTCTGAGGCCTCATCCCACTAGCTCAGCAAGGAAGGAACGGGAATACAGGACCCAGCTGACATTACCTGAGACACAATCTGACCAGTGCACATCAAATGCCCTCACTGTGCCTGGCACGTTCTATTTACTATTTCCTTGAAAGCTCCCAAGAACATTGGGGTTGGACACAATGTTCCACATAATACATATGAAACAGCACCAGGGACTTAACATCACTGTGGGCACGCTACGGACCCAGAGCTCCTAGCTGCCGCGCTGGGTGGTGGGTCAGGAGGGAAGGATACGGGGCTCGCCTCACCTGTCTTTCTCCTCGGTGCCACTGTGCAGGAGACACTTCCACGCAAGAGCAAAACCCCGGTAGCAGCCAATCTGTGAATGGAAAAGTAGCCCACCTTGCTTTCTCAGACCACCTACTCTGGGGGCTCATAAGGATACCCGAGAGGCAGTCCACTGTCATGTGGGGTATCACCTTGGGGACAGATCCCCTCACCCCAGCGAAGCCTTCAGATTGAATCCTGGAGCTGGATACACCCAGCCAAGCAGCTCCTAAAGTGCTGACCCTCAGACACTGTGGGATGACCAAAGCAGGTTGCTTCAGGTCCAGCAGTCTGTGGGGACCCGCTCTGAAGCATCACATATTCACATATTTGCATCATCATGACCAGCTCAGCCTCTGCCAGGCAGGGCCAGTAATCCGGCGGGGGGGGGGGGGGGGGAAGACAAAGGGCAAGAGGGGAGGAAAAAGTGGAGGATGCTAATGGAATTTTGATGTAAACATGGTGTCCTCTGCAGAGGACTCAGACACAAGACAGCTCTGTGACACTCCCACAGCACTTCGGTGGTTCTGTGCCAAAAAACACTTTGACTAATCCCAGGACTCAGGAAGCAGAGGCAGGTGAATCTCTGAGTTTGAGGCTGGCCTGGTCTACATAGCAAGTTCCAGGCCAGCTGGGGCTACAGGGAGACCCTGTCTCAAAAAGACAGACAAAAAAATAAGAAAAGACTATTCTGCCTGGTCTGTGTAGTCTGATGAAGCCTGGTGTTCTGGCTCCAACACTGTGGGGTTTCGATCAAAATGTCCCCCACAGACTCAAGTGTTTGAACACTTGGTCAGCTGGTGGCACTGTTTGGGGAGGTCATGGAACCTTTAAGTGTGGCCCTGCTGGGGGAAGCAGGGAGCCGGCTTGAGGGTGCACAGCCTTGCCTGACTTCAGGCGTCTCTCTGCTTCCTGACACGCTTGGAGATGCAAAGCTCAGCTTTCTGTGCCAGGTGCCCCTGCTGCCATGATGGACTCTTACCCCTCTGGTACTGATCCTTCAAGCCCGGAACTTGACTGGAGGGACTGGCCACAGGGCTCCCTAGGGTCCAGCTGTTGGCCAGTGCCCACCTCTCATCTTGTCTTTGCTGGGTTACAACATGGGCTCTGGAGATCTGAACTCGGGGCTTCAATCTTGTAAGTTCCTGCCCTGCTTGATTTCCTGCCTCAACTTCCTTCAATGATGAACTGTGATCAAGATGTGTAAGCCAAATAAACTCTTTTCTCCACCAGTTGTTTTCGATCAGTATTTAATCACAGCAACAGAAAGCTAACCAGGACAAACGCTGAGGAAACTACAAACTGCAGTTAAAGATTCATGAGTCTCCCTGTAGACCTGGAACGCGTTATGTAGACCAGGCTGGCCTTGATCTCACAGAGATCTGCCTGCCTCTTCCTCCCAACTGCTGGGACTAAAGTCGTGAGCCACCATGCCTGCCCCCCCCCCCGGCCACGGCCTTTGTTTTTTGAGGCAGGATCTCACTATGTAGCCCAGGTTGGCCTTAAGCTCTTGATCTTTCTGCCTCAGCCTGCTGAATTCTGGGATGGGCATGGGCCACCACCCTTATCGGAGGAGTCATTTCTAAGTGGAGCTCCCACTCACCTCAGATCCAATTTTGGCTCCATGTAATGTGCCACAATGCCTTCCTTCACTTATTCCCAAATTACTGCCCTCTTCATAGCCTTCCCGATAGCCTTCCCCGTGGAATCTGTGATAGAGAACACTTTGTCAGGTAAACAGGAGAAACACGACTTTCTCACAAAAAACCTCCCTCTCTTACATTATCCAGACCCCATAGGACACAGCAGACCATAAAACCCCATAAGACATGGTACAAAAAAACCTAAAACTCAGGCCACAAAATCCAGGTTCTTGGCTCAGCTCTTCCACGTTCGGAATTTCCTCTGGCCCATTGCTGCACATTTTTTACAATGTTTTCTGAGATAGGACCTCACTGTGTAGCCCAGGCTGGCTTCAAACCCAAAGCAACCCTGCCAAAACCTCTGAGTGCTACAATTCTAGGTGTGCTCCACCACACTTGGCTGCTCCTTGCTGGAGAGATGGGCTGTGTGCAGGCACTACCAACAGCTACAGCCCCAGCCCCTTACGTCCACAATCCTTCATCTAGAGCTGACCGTAGGCTGACAAAGTGATGTCCAAACCCAGCAAAGTGTCCAAACCCACAAGGAAGATGTAAAGGTGGAAACTCAAGCGAGTCTGGAATATACTAGGAATCTGCTCTTCAAAGTAGGTGACCGGTCTGCAGCACACTGGGCAGCTCAGCGTCTATGCAATCCTAACTCAAATCACTTGTTTCTAAGAAGCTCAAGTACAGGACACATTCTGTGACTCTGGAGTAACAGGAAAAGCTCTAAGATCGTCAGTGTACCACAACTAGGGTGTTTGGACTATGAGAAGGGTGTTGCCTTTGGGAGCTCAACCAACAGAGCTGGCACTGTCTTAACCTGCAGCCGGCACATGGAATGCTCTGGAAACCCCCAAGAAGCAGTGCCTCCCCATCTGTCAGCACCCAACTCACATGCTAAGCAGAGTTAGAGCAACCACAAGGGGAGGCTCCCACAGAGGGTGGGAAATCCTCGGGACCCCTGCAGGGGCGCTGAGGCCAAGAGTCACGGGCTGGCCCTGTGCTCCCTGGGGCCTTTCTGGATGGAAAAGGGCCCAGCCCGTCACATCCATCAACAGACCGGTGAATACCACCGTCTGTGCGACCATTAGGGGACAAGAAGAAGTGGCAGCCCGCAGATGGCCAAGAGTGTCCCGGAGGACGGAAGGGGATGGGGGAGTCGGCGGGAAGGCAGCTGCCAGGGCACTGCATGCCCGCCCCACCCCGCCCCACCCCGCC